ACCCTAAACCCCAAACCCTAAGTTCACTTCGGAAGTTGCAATGGCTTCAGTCAAATCGTCGGTCTGGTTCCTCAGCCTCCGGTGCCCGCCTTCCGGATACGCCGAATCGTTACATGTCCTGAGGCTGCTCTTGGCCCTGGGGTTTGGGGTTTAGGGTTTAGGGTTTAGGGTTTAGGGTTTAGGGCTTAGGGTTTAGGGTTTAGGTTTACGTAGGGTTTAGGGAGGGTTCAGGGCCGTCTCTTGCTGTAGGGGCCTTAATAATTTGAATGGGGCTTTGGGGGATAGTATACTATAACTATAACAAGGAACCCTTAAAGCAATATAGGTAAGTATTAAAATCCCTATATTATGCGGGTTTATGGGGTCGGGTTTATGGGTGGGGTGTGAATGGGTTGAGAAATCGAAGAGACTGATGCGCTCCCTTTACGAGATTCCGGTACCTACCATTGAGATACCGAGACCCTTCATAGCAACTTGAAGTTTCGGGTTCAGGATTTAGGGTAAACATTTCCCACTACTCCTTGATAGTATACACTTCGAAGGTCTTAGCAAGTTTTGCCATTGTCTTGTCTATCTGCGGGCATGTTTGCATATCTAGAGCTTGCTTCATGATGCACGTCCTCTGCACTTCCTTACTTATTCTGTTTACCTTTGAGTGTGCTACTTGTAGCTTCTGCTTGCTTACTACATGGCGATACTAACTGCTTCGGCCAGTGCAGCCCAGTCTCAAGTAGCGTACCTGCATGTTAAGCGGGTGGTAGCCTCGGCAGAAAACTGCACGGCAATCAAGAACCCTAGACCCTAAATCGCCGAGTTTGGGTTTAGGGTTTAGGGGCGTGAGGTGTGGGGATTGAGTTTCCTTGGATGCTCTTTTGACCATCAAGTCAGGATTGGTGCAGCTCCCCGGGATGGTTCTAACCGGTTCTACGGGGGCGTGCGCAGGGATACTGGGTAGACTTGGACAAAAGCCGCCAAGCCGCCGTGCGTCGTGGGGGAATGTAGGGGCCTCAATAATTAGAATAGGGTTTTGGGGGTTCCTTATTCTAACTACAGTATAATGTAACCCCAACCCCTATTCGAATTCTTAAGGCCCCTATATTTGCAGGTTCTCGGATTTTGGAATCTGGGCCTCAGATCTAGGGTCAACGTGACATGGTTTGCGACGTGTCAGTGCAATGGGGGGCGACCGCAGGGTCAGCATTTGGGCTGCTAGGGATACTGCAGGGGTCGGCAAAATACTAACAATCCTGAATTCCCTTACATCGCTATTCCAATTATACCACAGTATAGCCCCAAACCCTGTTCTAATAGTCAAGGTCCTGGTAATTACAGGTTTCAGGGTTGGGTTCTGATACCCTCAGCACCATCGCTTTGAAGAGATGCCTTTCAGCGAGCCCCCCACACCCCAAAAACCCCCGAACCCATCAGCCACGAGGCAATTGTAGTACTCCTCAGTGTCTTCGGAGGTGAAATGCTCCAGCCATCGACTCCTGGGTGGTTCCAAGCATCCCCGTAACTCGGAGGACGGCGCTTCGGAATAAGGTTTAGTTTGGGTCTAGGGCTTAGGGTTTAGGATCTCAAAGACCTTCACATGAACCCCTACAGAACCCGGAGCAGTAAGCCCTTATCAACCCTGCAACACCCCCCCCCCCCCCCCGTCAAAGCGAAACCCAAGGCTCAAGGCAGGCATGTAGCCACTGGTTAGGTTCTCTTCCGGATCTCGAGGGAAGTCCGTTTCCAGCGTCATGTCGTGGCCTTTGCTTGACCGGTTTAGGGCTTAGGGTTTAGGGCTTTCGGGTGCCTTCTTTTTGCGGGTTCCTGTTGGGAAGTATAGGAATTTGAGGCTTACCTAAACCCTAAACCCTAAACCCTAAACCTTAGTGTTTGGAGGTTCAGGAATTCCAGCGGAGGTGTAGGCCAAGTAACGTTTGGGGTTTAGGGTTGAGGGTTGAGGGTTTAGGGTTTAGGGTTTAGGGTTTAGGGGCTTCGGGTTTAGAGTTTAGGTTGTAAGATTCAGGCTTACGGACAGTCACACAAGCCCCGAGGAGGCTCAAACCTTTGCGATCGCACCGACCAAGCGGCCAAATGAGGAGTATCTGCACTGCAAATACAGGGAGTAGACATGGTCCAGCGGATTTCGAAAGATGGCGGAAATATGCTCATCGCCTTCACCTGGAAAGATCCCGGGACTCCAAAACCGGCTCAGGGTTTAGGGTTTAAGGTTTTGTTTAGAGTTCACCCCCAAGAGATACACCTGAAATCATATTGAGGAGCCGCGAGCAATCCTAAAACCTTAGGCCAAAACCAGACCCGCACGTAGCACCCCGAAAGAACGAAGGAATACACCTGACATCATGCGAAGAAGGCCTGCAGAGATTCAGGCATACTCCTTCCATGATGCAGCCCTGCGTGTAGATGAACGCCCTTAAACAGCCCAAACCCCCTGTACCTTTATACTATGAAATCCTTCCGGGCATATACATAAGCCTTAAACCCTTTTCGGAACCTTTACATGAAAAACCCTAAACCCCAAACACTAAACCCTGCACCCGAAACCCTAAACCCTAAACCTAAACCCTATAGACCCTCTAAACCCCGCCTCTCAGCACATAGTAGCACCTCTCATCGAAACCCGAAGAGACGCGGCGGAATTGCACTCCCCGAGGCTTCAGCTGCTTGTAAAGCGACAGACCGGCAGTCTTCGGTATGTGCCTTGCAGGGCTTTTAGGGTTTAGGGTTTAGGGTTTAGGATTTAGGGTTTAGGGTTTAGGGTTAAAGGTGTAGGGTTTAGAGTCTAGGTCTAGGGGTCTTTGCCTTAGAAAGGCCGAAAAGTTCAATTCTAAAGCTTATAAGCTGAGTTGAAGTTCACTTAAAGCCAGAAATGCGTATGGAAACCAAGAGCCTACGGCTTATGAACTCAACTTAGCTGTAAGTTGTATTTGCGGCCCTTTTGAAGAAGCGCCATAAAGCCCAAACACCTAAAAGCTTACCAGCTCAACTTCTTAGTGGCATTATAAGGGCCCGTGTAGGGGTACTATGACGGTACCGTAAAGGCCCTTCTAAGGATACTCTAATGGGCCAAGATGCATCTGCGAGATCGTGGCATTTCGATCGAGGACCTCCACTGTCTTCTGCCGCTCACGCGGAAGGCGACGAGAAGCCGCGACCGACAACAAAGATGCCGGGTCTGTGGAAACCTACAGAAGTGCAGGATGTAGGACTTTGGGTTTAGGTTGGGGGTTTAGGATTTAGGGCTTAGGATATTACGATTGAGGCTTCAAAGCCTAGGGTCCAAGATTGAGGATTTTGGGTTCAGGGTTTAGGGTTCAGAGTTTTTTTTAACCGGACCTTTTTCCTCCCTGCAGAGAGAAAAGTCTGTGTTTAGGGTTTAAGGTTTAGGGTTTAGGGTTTAGGGCTTAGGGGCTGACAGGATCACGAAACCCAAACCCTAAACCCTAAACCCGAAACCTGGTAAGTACCTCAGAAGGTCCAGATGCACAACCATCCAGAAATTAGGGCCCCGAAGACCATCCTTCCCCACGGGTTGTGGGGCCCTTAGGGTTTGGGGTTTAGGGTTTAGGGTTTTGGGGCCGACCTCCATGGTTCACCCCAAACCCTAGACCCTAAACCGTAGTGGTAGTTGATTTTGCTGGCGCTTTACAACTTCTGACAGTGCGAAGGTCCTCTTCCTATCCCAATAGGACTACCTTGGTGAGTCAGGTTGCGACAGTCATACATGATGACTTATAGCGCCAATCTAGAGACTTACAACCCTACTTATATCTACCCATGAACTTCCGGGGCTAATATAAGTACCTTAATAATTAGAATAGAGTTTGGGGGGTATCTTACACCATACTTAGAATAAGGAACCCCCCCAAAACCCTGTTCTCATTATTAGGGCCCCTAAACCCTAAATCCTAAACCCCAAACCCTAAACCCTAAATCCTAAACCCTAAACCCTAAACCCTAAACCCTAAAGGCCCCCTACATCATGCGCTTCGACCGTTCAGGGCTTGGGCTCCCAGGGGCTCTTTGTAGGGCCCCAAAAAGCCACATAAGCAAAAATTAGGATCCGGATATCCCATATAAATCCCCTTATAATGAAGCCCAATAAGGTAGGGATATCCCTATGAAAAGCTTATGCTTATGTGCTTTTTGGGTCCCTAACTTCGGGGCTTTAAGGCTTAGGACTTCAGGGCTTCAAAGCTGAAGCGAAGGATTTTCAAGCCTCTCCCTGCATTTAGGGTTTAGGGTTTAGGGTTTAGGGTTTAGGGTTGAGGGTTTGGGGTTTAGGGGTTCCTTTACGGGCTCTTTGAAAGGGTTCTTGTAGTGCTTTGGGCTGTAACCTGAATACTTAGCAACACTGCTTCTTGGGGCTCCTTCTTTAATTCGTACCATTATTCATTATATACAGACATGCGAAAGTACACCAGTACAGAATGCACACCAAACTACCCTAAAGTAGATCCGTGCACAAAGCTCACTCCACTGAGAAGCAAAGTCAACCCTGAAGTTGCAGGCGCCTTTCTCACTCAGGGCAAAGTAGTCTTGAGCCACCAAAGTGGCAGTCACTCACTCTGGGGAAAGTAGGGACGTGTTATTTTCACAAGACATACATAAATACATACATACATCCATCCATCCATTCATGCATGCATGCATGCATGCATACATATGTATATATATATATATATATATGTATATATATTTATATACACACACCCCAAAACCCTATTCTAATTGTTAGGGCATCCTACCATGTTCGGATCCCGGCAGCCTCCGAGGTGCACTGCGGGCTTGCCGGCACCAGGAGAAGCAGAGCGACTCCAAGCAGGAGCTCCGGCGGGAGGCGTGAGAGGCGCCCCATCCGCAATGAGGGTTTAGGGGTTTAAGGTTTAGGTTTAGGGGTTTAAAGTTTAGGGTTTAAGGTTTAGGGTCTAGGGTCTAAGGTTTAGGGCTTAGGGATGCCCGGCATAAAAGATCCTAAGGCTTGTAGAACCCAGGGCGGAGAACTTAGGAGTGCCGAGGCTGTTGCATCTGCCCAGAGACTCCAATATCCCTTAATTAAGGAATATGCCTTAAATTATGTTAGGAATCCTGCTATAATTTAAGGAATATTCGTTAATTAAGGGATATTGGAGGCTCTGGGTGAGTGGGCTGGGGGGGGGCTTAGAGCTTCAGAGGTGAGAGGAGCGCATGGGTTGGGGGTCCAGGGACGTGCCCAAGATTTCCCCTAAACCCTAAACCCTAAACCCTGAACCCGAAGCCCATAAAAGCTTTATCTGTTAAGATTGACTCCGGTGAACCTTCTCTTCTGGTTCCCTCATCTCGGGGAGCTAGCTGGAGCCGAAACGAGAAGCACTTTCGATAGGGCCGGATGCTCTGCTGGTGACCCAGAGCCTCCAACATCCCTTAATTAACGAATATTCCTAAATTATAGTAGGATTCCTAATATAATTTAAGGTATATTCCTTAATTAAGGGATATTGGAGTCTCTGAAACCAAACCCCAGGCAAAATAGATATCAAAGCCTGACGGTTCGTCCTATGTGTCCCCTTGAGACCTTGAAACAGCGTTCACGGAGACTCCCACATCACTCCTGAAACCTACAGTAACGATCGCCAAGAATTGGCCCATAAACAAAGGGATAAAAACTCTACATGCCCGTTTCGGGGTTCTCACAAAACTCTTCGAAAACGGATCCGTAACTAGCAGACAGTGGAGCCTCTAGCACGCAGCTCATTCTAGGGATTAGGGTTTAAGGTTTAGGGTTTAAAGTTTAGGATTTAGGGTTTAGGACTAGGGCCACTTTAGGGGCACACTTTTGGTTCAGACCTCGACCGTATCTTCTTCAACCATATGGTAAAGGTTCTCGTCTACATGAAGGGTCTAATCGCGCCGTTTGGGGTTAGAGAGGGGAATGTCCTAATGTAGATTCCATCATTGAGGCGCAACTTGGCATTTCTGGGTCCCGCTTCAGTGCGCACTGGTTCGAGTCAGTTGGGGATTCTGGGCTCTGAAACTGAAGAGACCCTAAACCTGACATCCCGAAGCCTTCGAACCGAAGTTACAAACAGGGTACCTACACTGACAGGACGTATAGCTGGGTTGTAGGTACGGTCACAGATTGTAAAGCCTTATAGCCAACAGCCTTGAGCACTAAATCCGCTGGCCTCGAAGCCTGAAACCCGGTTCTCATCACTAGTTTATGTTTTTACATATGTATTTCTCTGTGTTTACATATTTATATATATATATATATATATATATATTTTTATATTATATGATATACGTATACATATATCCTTTAATATATAAATAAGTCATAAGCACCCCGTCACCTCGAAGCCGAGTCCCAACAATGCGAGAAGTCGCTAAGTTTGTGTCTGGCAGGGGTTGGAAGTTGAGTAGAAAGGGGCTTAGGAGGCTATCAATTCCATCCAAGGTTCCAAAACCCACTAGCACCCTAAACCCTAAACCCTAAACCCTAAACCCCTAAACCCTAAACCCTAAACCCTAAACCCTACACCCTAAACCAGAAGCCCTACTTGCAGGTGGTTCAATACCTATGCCCACACCCGGAACATGAATGCCAGGCCCGAAAAAGCCTGAACCCCGACAGCATAAATGCTGAATGTTCCCCAAAACCTAAAACCTAAACCCTAAACCCTAAACCCTAAACCCTAACCCTCTATTCCGGAAGCCCGGAATGCTCAACCACAACACCCCAAAGCCCGAAGCCGAGTCGTTGATTTCTTCCGTCGCGCGCTGCAAAGGTCTGGCGTCCAAAAGAGTTTAAGGTTTAGGGCTTGGGGGTTTAGGGTTTAGGGTTTAGGGTTTAGGGCTTGGGGGTTTAAAGGGTTTCGGGCTGAGGGTTTAGGGTTTGGGGTTTGGGGTTTAAGGGGTTTAAGGGGTTACGGGTTTGGAGCTTTGGGGCGCGGGCTTGGTTCTTCTGGGCGTGGGCTCTAGGATTTCGGGGTCACGGATTGGCTTTGGAGCTTTGGGTTGAGTGCTTAGGGTTTAGGGCTTAGGGCTTAGATTGATGATGCCCGTGGCAATTCCTTTGGCCATGGCCCAATGGTCGTAGAGCACCCAGACTTCACCTGATTTGTGCTTGGACAAGGATGGCTCAAGGCGTCAATTCTGTTCGACAGGGTTTGGTAACCATGGTTTGTCTTTACAGGCTTAAAACTACAATTTATAACGGTTCTAGACGGCCTTACAGGATTTCGGGTTGCAGGAAATCGGTCTTGGTATTTCAGTCATCTGGCATCGAGGGTTCGGGGTTTCAGGCTTCAGGCTTGGCGTGTGTGTTTATCAGCCACTGCAACTATAAGTTATAGGGTTTAGTGGTTTAGGGGTTTAGGGTTTAGGGGTTTACGGGTTTAGGGTTTAGGGTTTAGGGTTTGGGGTTTAGGGTTACTTGCAACTTGACTTCCTAAATCCTCTGATTTTGTAGGTACCGAAGGATCAACAAGTCACGATTGTGCACCCAGATCTGCGGATCGCCATCTGGGAAATACCTCAGGCTTGTGGGCTGCAAGGGCTCCTTTCATGATTCCTTCCAGGGATCTATAATAAGTGTTCTGGAAGGATGTTCGAGCTTTTGGGTTAAGGGCTTGGGGTGTGGGGTTTAGGAGGCCATGTTGCGAGAGTTTGGGGGATAAGTGCTGCAGGGTTCGGGGGTTAAAGGGTTTGCAGTTTAAGGCTTTGGGCTTGGGGTTTAGGGGTGTTGGATTTAAGGCTGTGAAAGCTTCAGAGCTAAAAACCCCCAAAGCGCAATATCTTCATCCCGACTGCATCCAAAGCCCACCAAGCCTGACACGCTACATACCCAAAACCTAAACTCTACCCTGAACCCTAAATTAAACCCTGAACCCTAAACCCTGAACCCTAATGCCAGTCAGTATTTGGGCTTCTCCATCCTCATCCAATCCCAAATCCTTAGATGGCGCTTCAAGCACCACACTGAAGAAGTTCCTCTTGAGTCGTCGTCAATGTCATCAACCCAGGCTCCTTGCCGAACCCTTGTAAACCCCTACAAAGGCCTCACAAACCCTTGAAATTGACCCTTATACCCTGCAACCCTCAAAACTAGAGCACCCTAAGGCCCTAAACCCAAAGAAAACCCCGAAACACCCCCCTAAACCCTAAACCCTAAAACCTAAACCCTAAACCCTAACAAACCCTCAACCCAAAAGCGCCCCCGAGTCCCTCGCCCGAGATTGCCGGCCCACCAGCTCGTGAGAAATTCGCGGCCCTGGCTGTCTGGTGCTTAGTAGGGAATGGGGGAATAGGGTTTAGGGTTTAGGGTTTAGGGTTTAGGGTTTAGGGTTTAGGGTTTGAATGGATCCCTATGATAGTCCCTTAAGGTTTGTTACAGTAGTCCCTATAACCCATTCCCCCATTCCCTTCTAAGCACCAGACAGGCCTGGCTGTGCACCATCGCCGAGACGCCTCGGATCTGGGAAGGGTTTTCTTTTGGGGTTTCGGGTTTAGGGTTTAGTTAGGGTTTCGGGTTTAGGGTTTTGGGCCTAGGGTTTGGGGCTTAGGGTTTGGGGTTTGGGGCTTGGGGTTTGGGGCCTAGGGTTTCGGGTTTAGGGTTTTGTTTCGGGTTTAGGGCTTAGGGTTTGGGGTTAGGGTTTCGGGTTTAGGGCTAAGGGTTCAGGGCTTCGGGCTTAGGATCCTGCATCAGGGGTGGAGGTCCTCTTGCGCACGCCCGTAAACGCACCCCCCCAAACCTTAAGCCTATGTTTAGGGTTTAGGGCTTAGGGTTTAGGGTTTAGGGTTTAGGCCTCTGTCGGCATTCCCTGACAGCCTGAACCCTAAAGCCCTGAAGGGTCCATACTATCGATTTCTGCATGCCTCGATCGGTAATTCACAGCTTTCTGTGGGCACCTGAGTAGAGGTCCAGCGCAGACCCGCAAGAGCGATTCGACGGCCAGTCCTGAGGCAGGGTTTAGGGTTTAGGGTTTAGGGAAAGCCTACACCCTTAAACCGCAAACTCGATACACCCCTAAACCTCAAACTCGAAAGCCTAAACCCTAAAACGCTGCACCCAAGAACCAAAGCCCAAGGCCGTGAAACTCTTGAGCCAAGCAACCCAAAGCCGAGCTGAACAGAAGTGTTTAGGGTTTAGGGTGTAGGGGCTCAGGGCTTTAGGTTTTAGGGTGGAGGGTTTAGGGTAACATAATATGCTAAACTGAAGCTGAATAGCAAAGAGCGGAACAGGATAAAATGGACTAGACTGGAATAGAACAGAACGCCGGTGGAATCGAATCGAAAAGAACCGGGCAGAATAGAATTGAATAGAATAGACCGGAATAGAACAGAACAGAATATAATGGAGTATAGTTCAGGACTCGAGCCTAAACCCTAAACCCTAAACCCTAAACCGGTTGCATCCCACTTGAAGGATCTTTTGGTGAAGCCCCGCAATTTCTGGAAGCCGAATCCGAAACTCCACGCCCCGAAGATTTCAAAACTCTAGACTCTAGACCCTAAACCCCAAGCCTATAGACCCTAAACCCTAAACCCTAAACCCTAAACCCTAAACCCTAAACCCTAAACCCTAATGTAGGGGGCCTTAGTAATTTTACTAAGGCTTTGGGGTATTATCTACTAGACTTATTGAGGCCCTTTTTTGCATCCTTTCTGCAGGATGAAAGGACCCCCGTTTAGCGTTAAAAGGGTTTAGGGTTTAGGGTTTAGGGTTTAGGGTTTAGGGTTTAGGGTTTAGGGTTTAGGGTTTAGGGTTTAGGGTTTAGGGTTTAGGGTTTAGGGTGTTTAGGGTTTAAGATCCCCTCAACTTAGTTCCGCCGGAAGTCCAAGCTGTAGGGCGCCATCGCTGGCACAACGGCCCAGGCTGGGAACGTCCGGGCCTGCGAGGGAAAGCCATTTAGGGTTTAGGGCTTAGGGCTTAGGGGTTAGGGTTTAGGGTTTAGGGTTTAGGGTTCAGGGTTTAGGGTTTAGGGTTTAGGGTGTCACCCCGCAAGTCTACATGAGTGCGGGATACTCTAAACCAACGGATGCGCTACTTCCCAATCAGAAGAACCGTCATTACACACAGCTAGGATGTGATTGAAACTGGCTGGTGAGCGCAGTTCTCCTTAGGTGAAAGCTGATCCTCTTCCGCACTTCAACTTGTAGCAGGTGCTGCCCCTGGGACGACTGCGGTTACCCCGGAAGCCTTTGAACCAACTGTTGCAAGGGGGATGTCCAGAAGCCTTTAGAACAAAACAGAGCTAGGGGTTTCTCGGAACGAAAGAAGCATCCTCTCACTTCTCAAAACGACCAAGTTGTCTTATAGGGGCCCTGAACCCCAAGCCCTAAACCCTCAACCCCTAAAATCCTATGAGAAGGAGCTCAAAGCTTGCTCCACGGACATGCAGACGGCCTTGCTGCCCAGAAAAGTCTGCAGGGTTCGGATGGCTCGTCGCAAGTGGTCCTGCTTCAACGGCTTCGATGCTGCCAGGAGCTAGGGCTTAGGGTCTATAGTTGAGGGTTTAGGGTTTAGGGTTTAGGGCGGGTGCGGGGGTTGAGGGATTGAGGTTTGGGGTTTGCGCCTGCTTTGGAATTTGGGCTTAGGGGTTTGGACCCTAAACCCTAAACCCTAAACCCTAAACCCTAAATAGTAGGGCTGGAGATCTGGAGCTTTACTTGCTGCTGAACCCATCTAAATGACCGCTGCTGCAGCAAGCAAAGCACATTGGATGAGCTGACCGAAACCGACAGGCATACCCCACAAGCTCTACGAGTGTCGCGATGTCGACTTCGATGATTCCTTGGTGCAAAACGCCGCTGAAACGACCACGATTTGTGTTTGAACCAGTATTCAGCTAGCACATCCTGCCTAGAGCTTCTGTTCACTCGTTTTCAACCTGGAGATACTAACAGACCCTGGTTTACAATCTAGACCCTAAACATTCCCCAAACGGCAGCATCACGGTTTAGGGTTTAGGGCTTATATATTTCGCTAGACAGACTGTGGTACTCAGAGACTGGTTCAACACTACTGGACACGACTGCCACAAGTACACGCCACCAGGGGGTTGCCATACTGGATACTTAAATATCTTAGAATATGGGTAGTTCTCCAAATTAGGGTCCCTTTTTGGATCCCCAATATAGTACGGCACCCTTATCAAAGGGACCCCAAAATGGATCCTAATTTAGAGAACTACCCATATAGACCCGAAGCAATAGGATCCTTATTCTGTTACAACCCTAACCCTTGAACCCAAAAGCAAGCTCCCGGCCTCTGGCCTCCCACTCAAACACAATAACCTGTAGTTACCCTCACAGCAGCCTGTGCAGCAAACCTTAAAGTAATCTTATAGAAACCATATAGTAGCCTTATAGAAACCTTATAACATGAAAGCGTCGGTCCGGATGTGCCAGCACGACGAGGGACTGAGCGGCTGGCTGCTGCTGCAAGATGTCCTGCATCATGGCCTGAAGCGCCGGGCTTTCTTTGGCTCCTTCTTACAGAGAGGACCACCTTACGCCCGTGTAATACGGAGGCGGTGTTTAGAATATGTGTCCACTTTTGATCACTAAACCCTAAACCCTAAACCCTAAACAGTATCTACATTGTTACATGAGCTCTTCTTCTTGCAGTCGAGGGTTCAGATCTTCGGGTCGAGAAAGTTGGAGGTTTGTGAGATGCGACATGTTGCTCTTGGTGTGTGTGTGTGTGTGGGACAGGGCGAGGCATTACGAGCTGTCACATCCCCCCATCTGCAGATCTCCGATTTTTCTCTCCCTCTGCTCCAGGAGCCTGGCGTACTATGCACTCCACGCTTCACGTCCGTCACTGCGAGATCTGGCCAAGGACGGAGTTCTCTGGCGCCCTCCACCATCCAGGGACCCTCGTGGGAGGCCATGAAAACCCTAAACCCTAAACCCCGAAACCCCTAAACCTGAAAACCCTAAATCCCTAAACCCTAAACCCTAAACCCTAAACCCTCAATCCCTAAACCCTAAACCCCCAACCCCTAAACCCCTAAACCCCTAAACTCCTAAACCCTAAACCCTAAACCCCTAAACCCCCAAACCCTAAACCCGAAAGCAGGCCTGTCCAAGGCGCAGCCCTCAAGCTGACCCTGGGCTCAGCAGCCCCTGCGCCGAGTCCAGGTCTGACAAGGAGTCCGCCGTCTGCTTCACAACCTCTGAGGGGAAGGTAACCTTATATAGTAACGGTTTAGGGGTTTTAGGGTTTACGGTTTAGCGGTTTAGGGGCTTAGGGTTTTGGTTTTTGGGTTTGGGGTTTAGGGTGTTGGGGTATCCTCATACAGGGCAACCCTGTAATAACCCTATAGCAATCTCATAGTAACCGCAGACCAACGTTAGAGTAAGCTTCTAGTCCCAAACCTCAAACCCTAAACCCTAAACCCTAAACCCACCTCGGAAGGGAAGGCGGGCAAGCGAGCGCCATACCGGCCGCCATACCCTAAGCCCTAAACCTAAACCCTAAACCCTAAACCCACCTCGGAAGGGAAGGCGGGCAAGCGCGCGCCATGGTTCAGGGCCAGGACGCGTAGCTCGATGACCACCCAGGCTCCTAACAGCATGCCCTCGACGTCCAAGGGCCTCTCCTCGGCGTCAGCGCAGACATAGGGCTTCATGGTTTCGGGTTTAGGGTTTAGGGTCTAGGGTTTAGGGTTTAGGGTCTAGGGTTTAGGGTTTAGGGTTTAGGGTTTAGGGTTCAGGGTTCAGGGTTTAGGGAGATGTGCCTTCATGTCCTACTTCTTGGTCTCATGTGGTCGGGAGTTGCGGTCCAAGCTGCAGATCCGCTTCGCAGCAACCAAACGCAAACCAATGCCCCCGACAGCGCTGGGGTAGCGTACATCTCGTGCTCTGCGTACAGGATCCGGGGTGGTTTTTGACCTCGGCCAGAACTGCATGACATAGATCCGAATCACCGTAAAATATAAGCATGAATAAGTAGCAAGACTACTACCGGACAATCCCTGTATAACTGCCATGGCCCAACACCCCATTCTATTTTTCAAGCCATGTCATACAACCCTGCAAAAGCCTGTAGAAATCAGGCCCCCATACCACGACGCACCGGGGGTCGGGCACAAGATGTCTCTCACAAGCCCTCCGAAGCAAGCAGTGCTCAGACCGCAAAGGGCACAGGCACCTGGCCAGGGTTTAGGGGTTTAAACGGGCTGAGAGCTTTTGGGGTTTACGGTTTCAAGTCTTAGGGCTTACGGGCTTGGCACAGGTTCACAGGCAGGATCGCTGCTACCTGCAGCTGCTGCCTTCCTTCAGGCATCATCCATCACCAAAGTACCCTAAACCCTAAACCCTAAACCCTAAACCCCAAATCCTAAACCCCAAATCCTAAACCCTAGACCCCAAATCCTAAACCCCAAATCCTAAACCCTAGACCCCAAACCCTAAACCCTAAACCCTCGATCCCAAACCCTAAACCCTAAACCCTAAACCCTCGACCCCCAAACCCTACCCTTACCCCCAGGGCCCTTCCTGCGTGCACGTGATGGTCTGGCAAGCATGCCGCAATGCGCGCCCCGAGCACTGCAAAAGCTGCTAAGCCCACGGTGTCCGTCCAAAAGACCTGGGCATGACAAAGTTCAGGGTTTAGGGTTTAAGGGTTTAAGGGTTCGGGGGTTTAGGGTTTAGGGGTTTAGGGGTTTAGGGTTTAGGGGTTTAGGGTTTAGGGGTTTAGGGTTTAGGGTTTAGGGGTTTTGGGGTTCCGGCTAATGTGGGGTTTAGGATTGACGGTCGAGAGTCGAAGGTGTAGGGTTTCGGGTTTCAAACGCCGAGATATCTACTCTAACTGAAATCAGATATCAATCCGGTGCAACCCCTTAAACTTGAAACCCTAAACCTAAACCCTAAACTTCCTAACCCTAAACCCTAAACCCTAAACCCTAGAGAACCCTAAACCCAAAAAGTGAAGCGAGTGGCAAACTCCCCCTCAGCGGTGATGCCATAGCTTCTAGCCAGGTATGGCAAGCCGAAGAATGCTCCAGTGGAAATACACATGCCTCGAATGAGCAGGCTCACGAAATGAAAACATTCCAGCGCTGAGTCTCCAAAAGCTGCTTCAAACACGACGTTCTTAAACTATGCTAGGCCTTGCTCGCGAGGCTTCGTTCTCCATCTTTCGCCATTACCGTGCCGAGGCACAAAGAATGGCCTCGTCATAATGGGTGGTCCAGAAGATGGGCGTGCGACCCAAGATCACATCTCGGATGGTTCCTCGGCTGCCATGTCTAGGTTTCACGCTCAATCAGCCATCTTGTCAGAGATATGGAGCTATGTTTCTATAAAACTAAACCCAAAACCCTAAACCCTAAACCCTACACCCATGTTTGTATAAAAAGACAGCAAAGCTCAGTGCCAAAAAACAGCTCTAATCTGGGCCCCTCCAAGGCTCCCCCTCCGAGGGCGGTGATAAAGCCCACCAAGTTGCCTGGGTTGCTCTGAAGAGGAACTTAGATTCAGCCATTATAACACGAAAAACCCCCTATTACTTACTATATATCCCCATTAAGGAACTTAGATTCAGCTAGTATAACACGAAAACCCCTATTATTTACTAAGTTGTTATAACTATTAGTTACTATATATCCCCATGATGGTAGCTTAAGCGTAAACGCCCTAACAGCAACCAAGTTGCACCCCAGCAGATCCATGCCAGCCAGACCGGCTGCCAGACTACCCGTAAAGGCGAAGCTGGCGTCGCCTACGTAGTTCGCCACCATGAAGGTCCTCCAAAAGGGCCATGACATAGAGAGTTTAGGGTTTAGGGCTTCGGGTAGGGTTTAGGGTTTCGGGTAGGGTTTAGGGTTTAGGGTTTAGGGTGTAGGGTTTAGGGTTTAGGGTTTAGGGTCGAAGTTCCACGACATGTTCTGTACTTCCTGGCGACTGGTCGTAAACCGGAAACATACAGATGCACCGCCGAACCAGAAGTCAACCCAAAACTAACCGGAACAAATCAGTGCCGTGTGCATGCCCACCTGTCCAGAACTCTGCCCTGCTCAACTTGATCCCATGGACCCCTTGAAGTGATTGGGGTTTAGGGTTTGAGAGTTGATGCTGACTGTTCAAGCCCCTCATAACAAAGGTTTCCTCGAACCCTTCTCAACTAAACACTTTTTTCAGTCTACCTGTTACCTGGCTACGAAGTCCTTCAACGTGCTTCTAGACTAGAAATGCTGTAGAGCCCTTCTCGAAAACTCTGTTTCACCCCTCACCCTAAACCCGAAAACCTAAAGCCCCAACCCTAAACCCTTACCTTAAACCCCTAAACTCCCAATCCCCGACCCTCTCCTGTCAATCGTTACCGTATGACGATCACGGTCTGATAAAAGCATGGCGCAAAGCGCCGCAGCCACCAGAGCCAGTCGCTGTCGCTGCGATTTTCGGCCCTTTACCGCCATGGCTCAACTCCCCCCTAAACCCTAAACCCTAAACCCTAAAGTTCAGGGTTTAGGGTTTCAGAGATAAGGATTTCGGGTTGAAGGTTTAGGGTTTTGGGTTCCGGGCTATAGCTTTAAGGCTTAGGACTTTTAGGGTTAAAGGAGTACAATTTACAGGGTGTTTGATGAACATCTTCAACTGAGCCGATTGCAAATCCCAAGGTCAGGTTAAAGATTTAGGATTCAAGGTTTAGTATTCAGCAGAGGTGTATGACTAGCTCTAGATGGCAAATGAATCTCAATTTTGGGCAGCTGGACCTGGCTCTATTTCCTGCAAAACCCTCGGCAAAACCGAGAAAAACTATACGGCCGTGGGCTTAGAATTTAAAGGCTGCGTGGATGTCTACCATACGCCGGGATGTAGGGTTTAGGATTCAGGGTTTAGGGTTTAGGGTTGAGGATTTAAGATGATTTAGGGTTTTTGTTAAGGGCCTTTTTCGTTACTTGCGCTTCGAAGCCCATGTTGGGCAGGGACACTCAGGTTTAGGATTTAGGGTTTAGGGCCTAGGGTTTAGGGTGCTCAGAGTTTAGGAATGCAGATCATGTTCTTGACCGACCGTGCCAACCTGTTTCATCCTAAGTTCGAGGATGGAACCTTTATAGTAGAGAAACCCTAAGCCCTAAACCGGTAGAGACACTAAGCTGTTTTGTTGCAGCTTAAAAGTCTTGCCAAATGGCGGGGAGGGAACCCTAAAGAAAAGAGCCCTAGCCTTAAGAAACGCACATTCCGTCGTTGCCAGTCGAAGCTTTCACGATGTTTCGCACAAGGTAAAGCCGAAACGCAGGTTTGGGGTTGGAGTTTGGGCTTCAGGTTTATGACGGTTAAGGTTGAGGGCTCAGGGCGGCAAACCTAAACTCTAAACCTCTAAACCCCTAAACCGTAAACCCTATACCCCTGAACCCGAAACCGAGCCCTAAACCCGGAACCCTAAACCCAAAGCTCTAAACCCTAAACCCTAAAGTCCTAAGCCAGAACCCAACCCAGCCACCTCCAGGATCTGCACGGTGTTCATGTAGCGCCCCGGCACGCCGGCAGGATGAATTCGACCTGCGGAGACAAGCTATAGCCAAGAAAGCCCCAAAGCCACAAAGCCTCGTCATTCAGATTGAACTTTAGGGTTTAGGGTTCAGGGTTTAGGGTTTAGGGTTTAACCATAAACCTTAAGCAGAATCTGAACTGAGCCCTAAACGATCCTTATAGAACTCTTCTGCCAAGGATCCTTGGAGACCCAAAGGTTAAAACCCCTTCACCCTGGGACCTTTATGTACCTGCCGATATACCCCATATCTAGGGTTTAGGGTTTAGGGTTTAGGGTTTAGGGTTTAGGGTTGAGGGTTTAGGGTTTAGGGTTTACACCCTTAACGGGGGCCCTACTGTTGATGGTATAAATCCTGCATCCCCTTGAAGACCCTAAAACTAGGGGAGTTCTGGTATGTTGCTTCTTACTATGGGGTACTGCAGGATTTGTATCATCCTAAACCCTGAACCCTAAACCTATATACATATATAATTTAAACCCTGTTACATTTTTGGTCAATTTCCGGACCAAGGTG